CCCTAGCCTGCCAAACTCAACACATGCATAGTTCTTTGGACTTTCTCTACAGAGGCGAAGATGTTAAGCCACATTGGCGGGAAATAATCGTATCACTGAAAGCGGCTCAACTGAAAACAGCTTCCACTGTGTGCAGTGCAGGTACGTAGAGAGAACGTCCCTTGTATGTATCAGTATGCAATGAAAGCGTCTTCATTGGCAGGAGACTCTAAATGCATACTCCTGCCCCCTGCTTTTTTCAAATCGTATCTGCCAATCCCTTGGCCACAGGGTTCCCCACACACAAGCAGCCATGAAGACGTTGTTATGTAGCTGAACACAGCTGTGAAATACGCTGGGTGAAACGCCGATGTAACAATCCGGATCGATAGCCATACTTTCTAATCTGCACCTCAATGGGTAGCAAAATATGAAACACCGTAACTAGCCGGATTCAGGAAGGAAACGTGCTGCCCTTGTTGGGCCGTTTGAAAGGTCTGAATAGGTCGGTAACGGCCGGTTACTCAAGAGCTACTCGGTTGATGATGATGCGGCTGGGACCCGCCAGGCCGCACCAGGGCGTGGTCAATCAAGGGCGGCCGCGCAAGCGACTCTTTGGGCAGGAGACTCTCAATCCATACTCCTGGCCCCTGCTTTTCTCAAATCTATCCCACAGGGTTCCACACTCGCGCACACACACACACACACACACCCGCGCGTCGCCTCGTTCAATTCAGCATCAGATATTCTTTTGTCTCCGTCCTTGCTGTCTCTAAGAATCTGAGCTTGAATCGAAGACAAGCTGTCTGATCGCGTGTTGAGCAACTGCTAGGTGCAGGCGGGCTTCTGCATCCAGATAGAGCTTGACCATCTTCCCTATTGTCATTCCTACTTGGGACCGGGCTGTCGTTTGCATCCTGATCACACGAAATATTGCTAGAGCTTTCTCTGCTATTGCCTAAACACACTCGAAAAAGTTCTAGCAGATCTGTAGCTGCGGACAGGCATCACCTTTATTTCTTTCATGGCACGGTCGATGTCGTGTCCAAACCTGCCTGGGCTTCGTAAGCTTGAGGGTGATGATGCAACAAAACTCTGGATTGCTCTGGATTGTGCCGACCGAGACCGAGGTGCGGTCGATCTCGTCGAAACCTTTCTGGGCTCTCCGCAAGTCTCTGACCTGCCAAGTTACCGACGAATCCTAACGTCTGTTGCGCACGGGCGTCCCCAAGCACTTTTGCAGTGACCTGACCTGCTGAGCCTCGTTGTCCAGATTCTGTTGGTAACCTCGCGGCTGTGTATGGGGGCATGTCGTTACCTTGCTGCCACCATTTCCATAATCCCCTGCAGTGCTCCCGAGGCAACTGCCCTCCCTCTACCAAAATGCCTGCTGTTCCGCACACTCCTAGCTACGTTAGCTACACACGACCTATGAACTCAGCCTCTGGGTTCTAGTCTTCGTGGAGCTCGCAAAGCCAAAACAGTCAAGTAGCCTTCATTGTTCTTCTTGAGCTCCTCCACCTTTCAGCGGCGCCCCATGGCGAGTTAACAATTGACAGAGGTGGGAGACGGGGAGGGAGGAGGGAAGGAGGGAGGGAGGAGAGAGAGAGAGAGATAAAACAAAGTTACCAAAAAACAATGGCTATGTCTGTGGCACAGATGTGACAGCTCAAGCATGCCGCCTGCTCATGCAGGAGGAAGTAGGTGACGATCAAATCCGAGTTCATCATCAGAAAAACCTGAGCTGCATTATGCGAGGCAACGCAGTCAACTCTGGCCAAGACATCCACGAACTGGAACAACAACAGCAACACAAGAGCAACAACCAGCAGCGGCACTTCCACAGCAGCTTGCCGTGCGGCACCGAAGAGCTGATTGCAAGTCGCAACTGCGAGGGTGAGAAGAAATAGAAATAGATTTGCAAATGCGATCAGGGCTCGCCACAGCCGAATAACAGCGTGCCCGTGATGGGTCTCACAACTCCAGGCTGCGGCACCAGATACATCCATGTTCCCACTGCGAATATAACTACCTGAAAGAATGAATTTCGGTTTGCGGATACTCTTCCAGGAATGCGACCAGCCAAGTTGCTGAAAAGGCATAAACAACCTCAGCTTTGGGGTCAGGAAGATGCTGGGCACAGGGTTTGCCGGCAGGGCAAACTCTAACGACGGGGTCGCAGCTGGCTAAGCCCCTCGCGTAGTAAAGAGCATTCAAATCATCCTTCTTCTTAGCTGAAGCATCATCGTCACTGCTCTGTCCGTCCTCTGCACCCAGCTTCTGGTACGAAGCCTCAGCAGGGTGGCCAACCAAAGAGGCACCACATGTAGCAAA